CTTTCAAGGATTTTCCTCCAGCATGTCCCAAGCGCATGTGCCATAGCCTGGTTGCTTCTGCCTTTTTGTCATCACTAGATGTCACTGTCGCTGTCCCAATAACTGTACTACCACGATAGCGGTACATATTATTGTTCTTCCGATTGGCCTTCATTACCACTAGTGCACCAGAGCATATTCTCATCACTCCATTTTCTGCAATGATTTTGAACCCTTTTGATTCTAGGGCTCCCACAGAGATGAGATTCTTCTTCAAACCCGGCACATATCGAACATCTGTTAATGTTCTGATCATTCCATCATGGCTTCTTAATCTTATTGAACCAATGCCATATGAGGTAAGAGGACTGTTATCCGCTGTGTGGATGACTCCGTATTCTCCTTCTTGAAAATTTACGAACTAGTCCTTGTTGGGACACATATGATAGCTACAAGCCAAGTCCATCAACCATATGTCTGATGATGTTGATAACTCTGTTGTAACTAATGAGAAGTCTGAATCATCACAATCAGCTACATTTGAATCCATAATGGCCTTTCCATTGTTATGTCTGGCCTTATTCTTCAACTTCGGACAGTCTTTCTTCTAGTGCCCCTTTTCTCGACAAAAGGCACATTCATCTTTGCTGGGTCTAGATCTCGACTTGGATCTTCCCTTCTTAGTCCTCGTTTGGTTTTGAGGACGACCCCTCACAATTAATGCTTCTCCTTCTCCGCCCATCTGTTTTTCTCTCTTTCTTTGTTCATAGCTATACAAAGCCGAACAAACTTCTCTGAGAGAAATTTCGTCATTTTCATGGAGTAGAATAGTTTCAAGGTGCTCGTACTCATTAGGAAGTGACCCCAACAACATCAAGGCTAAGTTACCATCATCAAAAGTTGTATCCATATTTTGCAAATTTATGACCAACTTATTGAAACTGGTGATATGTTCATTCATTGTGGTACCAGGAACATAGGTGAAGCGAAACAGTCTCTTCTTCATGTACAATTTATTTTGACTGTTTTTCTTCAAAAATTTATCCTCCAGTGCTTTCCATAATTTACTTGCAGAAGTTTCCTTTGTGTATGGATATTTCTGCTCTCTAGCAAGGTAGGATCGAATGGTACCGCAAGCAACACGGTTGATAATTCTCCAATCTTCTTCTCCAATAACATCTGGTTTCTTTTCTTCAATGGCCAGATCTAGCCCTTGTTGAAAAAGGACATCTAGAACCTCGCCTTGCCACATCCCAAAATGTCCGGACCCGTCAAATATTTCTACCGCAAATTTCGCATTTGACACAATTCTTGTCATAAGCGAAGATGCCAATGATGACGTATTGTTGACACTTGATGTAGATTCTTCTTGTTTATTGTCTCCCATATTTGACACAAATATTATTTAATAGCTGACGACACAAATCAAGATTATTTCCTTTCTGATGTAGAAGATCAGACTAAGCTGCAACTACAGAGCATACTCAGACAGAACCTTGACTCAGTTACCAAGATAAATCTTTTCTGATGTGGAAGATCAGACTATGCTGCAACCACAGAGCATACTTAGACAGTACCTTGGCTCTGATACCAATTGTTGCGGAAGCCAAATGTATATAGTGTGAATAAGTCACAACTACTATACCAAAAATTATGACAACCACTAAATAATAAACAAGACAATAAGACAACAATAAAAGAATACCAGAATTTACGAGGTTCGGCCAATTTACGAGGTGTACTTAAATCCTAAACATTAGGCCTCCTTTTATAGGGTGAAATTCCCATCCAAAATTGTCATCCACCGATGTGGGACTTTTGACAATTTCAACAAAATTTAAATCTGAAGTACTGGAAGCCTTCTTTTGCTATTTCAATTTTCTACTTTCTTCTCATCAAAAATATATCTTTTTATTTCTATATTTCAATTACCTTTTTCCTCATTTAAAGCTAAAAATATTCATTAGCCTCTCTCATATTTCCATGATTTTTCATTATGTTAGTAATGATGTCATATTATTATTACCCAAAAAAAAAATTATATCATATTATCTTTGTTATTCATCAGGATTCTGTCCAACTTTTGTATTAGGTGATGCAATATACACAGTAAAAAATGTTACACAATCTAATAATGTCCTCTGTTAAGCGATTACATAAATATAGGTAAAATTATCAGAGACCCCTTGTCCTTTACAGTAATTGTGGCAGTGAAAGAATTAATGTATTCTTTTTTACAATCAAATACAAACCAAAAATGAAAATTCAATGAGGAAAACATGAATTGAAATGTCTAGTTGAAATATTCTGGACATCTCTTATCTATGTAACCAGCCAAGACCATACCATCCTGGCCTACTCCCACAGGACAATTAGCATGCATCCTATGATGTTTACTATTCCACGACCATAACCTAAATCGAATTTTCGCCGTTAATTCTATCCGAAAAACCACCGTTCCTCTAGACCGATCCTCGAGCATTTGCTGCCATTGTGTTCCGGTCACCGTAATCATAGGGCCTGAAAATGTACCAGCAAGAACAGTTGTGTTTTTGGGCAGTTGATAAAATGGAGTCAATAATTGCGAATTCCCAATACTTTGTTCTTGATAAGTCGCTGTCACCTGCATTGCATCGTAAAAAATCCCAATAACTTGATTTGAATTTCTTGCTGTTACATTGAAGTTTATTTGTGCACTTTCAGGTCCAATTCCCTGACTTATAGCTGGAATTGAGAAATCATGGAGGAAAATTCTTGGGCGATGAGGGCGCAAACCTAGCCATAAAATGAATCCAATGATACCAACAATAGCAAGAAGGGTTAAGAAAATTGTACAAACTAACTTGGAGAGTCTAGTAGTTAGACTTTCTTTAATATGGTGAGCATAGTATCGAGCCGAGTGGTGCCTCCGTACAGGGCGGTCTTCATCTGCATAAACAGGTAACTCGTGCGTGTTATCCATTTTCACTTGCTACAGGGTTGAGATTAATGTTGTTCTTGAGGTTGAAGAACAGGACCAACTTTAAGGTACGTGATCATATATGTTAAGGTTGGTTAGCTGGAGCACAAAGTTATGTCAAAGAATGTTCTTTCAAGAAAGGAAAGAATAAGATGATCTAACTGGTTACATTCTTGATAGACAAATATTTGTTGTATAATGTCATGCAATTCTTGAAGTCATGTGAAAGTATACTTTGTTCAATAGTACTCGCAAAATTTTGTTCTTTCTCGCTAAGTATACTCGTGGAATATACAATGGTATTTCTTTCTGATCTTTTTATTGCTTTTGAAGGGTTCAAACCAAAAGAGATGACTTTCTATTGGTTTGTATCTTGGTTTTGTAAGACATTGAAGAAAGCTAAGTTATAGACTGGCCTTAAAACAACTGATATGCTTGTTCGAGGTTTATTGAACCTTTTTGCATTTTTTAGAATTGCCATATTAGAATTACTAAGAAGGTTACATGTTGTTGTAGGTCACCTAAATCATAAATATAAGTACCGTCCAATTGATAGAGTAGAAATTCTTTATCAATATATATATATATAAGTTAAATCTTTGAATGTTAACAAAAGAAGGAATTTGCAAATAAAGGTGTGTTTGGTATAATGAAAAAGAAAAAAAACTGAAATCTGAAAAAAAGCCTTTCTGGAGAGAGGGGGTGGGAGAGGTGGGGGAGGGGTTTGGGGTTAGATGTGAGGGTAGGTGGAGTTTTTGGAAAATATTTTCTTAATTTTTTCTAGGGAAGTCATTTTCCTGAAATGTGATATCTAGGAAAACATTGTCCAAACTATTTTGTGCAACCAAACAGTGAAAAATGGAAAAACCTTCATACCAAACACACCCTTAGACTAGGATATTTTGGGGGGAAATTGAAAGAGAAACAATTTTCCCTTTTTCTTTCTTGTTTGGAGGATCATTTTACGTATCTGATTGACCCAAAATTTGGCCCATAGGCCATTTTTGGTAGAAAAGAGAAAATTTCTATGTGGGCCTGAGAAAAGAAAATGATGATAGATACCATTTGGGCTACTTCAGAATTTTCTGGAACAAATACTACTCAGTCATTGAAGTCATCTGTATTAGTCTAGGACTTGAGGCAGGGCGGAGCAACCTTACGAGAAGGGGATCAAATGACATCCCTTCGTGAAAAAAATACACTATGTAAGTAGGTAATTTTTTTTTATATGTAAGATATATTATGTATTGACTCCCCTTAATTTTCTGGTATGTTTACTTTTATATATTTTGGCATTCCCTCAATGAAATTTCTGGCTCCGCCACTGACTTGAGGGATTTAAAATATTACTTAATTTATATACTTGAATGAGAATGTAAAGGATTTTTACACTATCATTAAAATATAATTAACTATAGCATTATTTTCTCGATTATCTTATTGGACTTATTATAAAGCCTACATATTATTGTAAATCAATAATTGTTAGCAGATTCAAATAAGTTTCTCTTTCGCTTTCAGCTTAACCCCTTATAATTTTGGCCCAAAACTTTTGGTATAAAAGGGAATTACTCCTTGGCCGAAAGAGAAATTGATAAATTTGGCNGACAATTGGCGAGAAGATGCTTTGGACATTTTTGGCATTTTGATAGACGCGGAAAGAGTGGAAAAGTCTGAATTCGTTTAGTCTAAGGGATAATTTTTCCAGTGAATTTGGCATAGGTGCGTCAACGATTCGAACATCCACGGTGGCTGCTTAACAAAGTAGATGGCCTAAAGCAACATTTTGTGGAGAGGCCGTAACTTTTTTCTTTAAACTTTCATATATAATTTTATTTTAAGTCTATTTTTATAGTTTTTGATATGCAAAAGATAATAGTGTTATTTTTTTTATAATAAATTTCTTCTAGTATTTTTTTGATTGACAATATAACTAATCAATCACAAGGCTATATAGTTCTTCTTTTATTTTTATAAAAGTATTGTGATTTTCACCTTAAAAATATTAAATATATTTGAAAATTTTAAGCATAAAATCTATTTTGAATAAGGTCATCGGTGAATTGAATAAACCATTCAACTATTTTCTTCCATAAAATTTTCAATTCTACTTCCAGTTATTCTTTCTAATATTTAGCTTGCAATTCTATTTTAATTCTTCATTTGGTATCAGAGCCAGCACAATGACTGATCTTCAAGTAATTAGCGGAATCAAAAAGCTCAATAATCAGAATTACAATACATGGGCAACATGTATGATGTCTTATATGCAGGGCCAAGATCTTTGGGAAGTGGTCAACGGAAGTGAAGTTACACAATCAGTGGCGGAGGATGGGAATAAAACCTTGCGGAAGTGGAGGATCAAAGCACGCAAAGCAATGTTTGCTCTCAAAACAACAATCGAAGAAGATGTGTTGGAGCATGTCCGCGATGCTAAAACGCCAAAAGAAACATGGAACACACTTGCTGCACTTTTCTTAAAGAAGAATGATGCAAGGCTACAGCTTTTAGAGAATGAGCTTTTATCAACAGCTCAACGTGATATGACAATTGCCCAGTACTTCCATAAAGTAAAGTCGATATGCCGTGAAATTTCAGATTTAGATTCAATGGCTCCAATTGGGAAAACCAGGATAAAAAGAATAATTATCTATAGGTTGAGGCCTGAATATAGAGGTTTTGTTGCTGCAATACAAGGATGGCCAAATCAACCATCACTTGTGGAGTTCGAAAATTTGTTCGCTGGTCAAGAAGCCATGGCGAAGCAAATAGTAGGAACTTCGGTGAAGAGTGAAGAAGAATCTCTGTACACCAACAAAACCAAGAACTTCAAGCAACATACTGCTCGTAGTTCTAAAAAGAACAATTTTCATGGAGATGGAAATTCATGCTCAAGGGGAGCTTTGAAAAATCACGGGAACAATAAAAGATTTGAAGGAAAGTGTCACAATTGTATAAAGAAGGGTCATATGGCAAAAGACTATTGGTCCAAGAAGAAGTCTGTGGAGAGTAATGCTGCTACGTCAAATTCAAATGAGAAAAGCGGAGATGATTGGGATGCTGAAGCATTTTTTGCTATAGAAGAGGAAGATTTAGCACTCACAGCAACAATATATGAATCAATTGATCATGAGAATGACTGGATCATTGATTCAGGTTTGTGCAAATCATATGACGGGTGATAAGAAAAAGTTACAGAACTTGACAACATACAATGGAAGTCGTGTTGTGGTGATGGCCAACAATTCAAGGTTATCGATTGCTCACATTGGTAAGACGATAGCTTCTCCTCAACGAAGTTCCATCCAGATCTTACTTGATCATGTTTATCATGTTCCAGGTATGAAGAAAAACTTGCTTTCAGTATCACAATTAACATCACCTGGCAACTATGTTCTGTTCGGTCCTCAGGATGTGATGGTATATCGTGATCTCAAGAACTTAGAAAATCCAATTATGAAGGGGCGTAAATCAGAGTCAGTTTATGTAATGTTTGCAGAGGCAGCATATGTAGAAAAGACTAGAAAGAACAAAACTGCAGATTTGTGGCACATGCGATTGGGTCACGTGAGTTTTTCCAAGCTAAGTGTGCTGATGAAAAAAATCAATGATCAGGGGTCTTCCTCAACTTGAAGTAAGAACAGACACCGTTTGTGCGGGCTGCCAATACGATAAAGTGCATCAGTTGCCCTTTGAAGAGTCCAAATTTAAAGCTGAGGAACCGCTAGCATTAATTCATTCTGAAGTATTCGGAACTGTCAAGCAAGTGTCCGTTGGTGGGATGAAATATATGGTGACCTTCATTGATGAGTTTTCCAGGTATGTGTGGATTTATTTCTTAAAGAAAAAATCTTTATCATTTTTAAAGTTCAAAGAGTTTAAAAAGGATGTTGAAGCAGAAGTTAGTAAGAAAATTCTTTGCTTGCGAACTGACAACGGTGGGGAATATACCTCAAACGAGTTTGCTGATTTCCTTCGAGAGTGTCGAATACATCATCAGTTCACATGTGCAAACACGCCGCAACAAAATGGCGTAGCGAAAAAGAAGAACAGACACTTAGCATAAATCTGTCGGAGTATGCTTTACGCGAAAAATATTCTAGGATAGTTTTGGGCAGAAGTAATGAAGACTGCAACTTTTGTGATCAAAGACTTCCTCGACAAAGGTTAAATTTTCTTTCACCTTTTGACAAGTTGTGGAATATGAAAGCTAATATTAGTTATTTGCGAGTGTTTGGATGTGTGTGCTATATTTTTATAGCAGATTATCTATGTAGCAAAATGGACAAGAAAGCTGTCAGGTGTATTTTTGTGGGCTATGACAGTCAAAGAAAAGGGTGGCGATGTTGTGATCCAACAACAGGAAAGTGTTACACTTCTCGAAATGTAGTATTTGATAAAACTTCTTCATGGTGATTTTCAGATAAGGAAGTGTTGCCCGACTCAGATATTTTCAAGGATGTGTTGGACTCGTCCCAGATTCAGTTGAGTGTAGATGAAGCTGAAGGTGTAATTTTTGAAGGTAATGTTGAAGAAGACGTGACTCAAAGTCCTTGGCAATCTGTTGTATACCAACAACCAGGTGAAGAAGGAGAGCCTAGTAGCGCAGCTGCACCACCCACACTCAGAAGGTCAATAAGGACCAGAAAGCCAAACCCAAAGTATGTCAATGCTGCCACAGTAGAAGAAGCAGATGCGATAGAACCTGAGACATTTGAAGATCCAAGGTGGACTAATGCTATGGAAGGGGAAATTGCAGCATTAGAACAAAATCAAACTTGGGAGTTTGTGCTAAAGTTAAAAGATGTGAAGCCTATATCTTGCAGATGGATTTATAAAATAAAGCGTCGCACAAATGGGTCGATCGAGAGGCATAATGCTCGTTTGGTAGCTCGAGGATTTACTCAAGAATATGGTTTGGACTACGATGAAACTTTCAATCCAGTGGCAAAGTTTACAACTGTGTGAGTCTTACTTGCACTTGCTGCTAGCAAAGATTGGAA